TGGAACCCTTGTCAGTACGGCGGAGCCAGCCCTGAGGAATAAGGCACACAGCTTTTTCTTAATAATTCCATTCAGTGAAGGCAAGCGCTTAGAATGAAAACATTTGGATAAGGATTAATAAGAGACTCTGCAGAGGAAAGTAGTGTATTATAGCCTCGTCCTACCAGAGTGTCTGCCAAAGCCAGGAGAAACTGAAGATCCTTAAGACTAAGTCCTTGCTGTTAAAGCAGGTTACAGCAACCGCAGAAGGGGACAGAGATTATAAAGCTCGGTGACAAGGCCAAGGGACCTGCATGCAGGCCTCCTGCACACTGCTTTGACCACGTCCGCAACTGAAGTCTCTCTTTGAACCGGTGAACTGCAAAGGTAAAGACAGTTAAAAGGAAGTGAGCACCAAACATCAGCCCCGCTGAACGGGCTGCTCCAATGCCCCTGTATCCTTCACTCATTGAGGACAGATCCAAAAGGCAAGGTGAGGGAACCATGGCTCAAAAAAATGAAACATTAAACCTCCCCAGACTTCTCCTTGCTGTGCTTCACTGTTTTGTTCCATGTTTGGTAAAGAAACACAAATAGAAACATTTAAAACCTAACATAAAATACTTTATTTTCTCCAAATAACATTTATTTTCCTTTCAAAAAGAAAAAAGGCCTTTTAACACTCATTTCCAGACCAAGTAAAAATACGAAAGAGCCACACACATCCCTTCATCTACTTAGAAAAATACATACATCCTTCCGAACAAAAGCACACATGCATTAGTTACAAAGCAAAAGTTTCATGGCTGTACAATCCTGAGCATTTCCACACGTGCAAACACGAACGTACCTGTGCGTACAAGAAAGGCAGCACGCAACTGGTCAACTGTATGTTCAGGTGATTACACCTCAAAGCCTTTTTTTTTTAAGAATTTTTAGCAAGGAAAGACTAGCAAATCCCATCAGCTGCATGAACAGCCATGGGTCAAGAGCATTTCTGGCATAAACAGCTCCATTTGATCCTTCTGTCAAGTGACAGAAGTGCCCAAAGAACTGGAACTAAGGATATCGGCATGGCATTCACAAAAATAGTTGCACCAAGGAGATGGAAAAACCATTAGAGACTTTGGCAAGGAAATTTTTATCACAGTCTTCACTCACTAAAGTGCTAAAAAAATAAGGGACTGATATTCAAAGGCTACAAGCTGAAATTTAGAGGCTGAGGTTGGAAAGTGGGACACAGGGACAAATACTGAAAAACAAACCCATTTTATACCCCCCAAAACAGTAAGTTACACAGGATCTCCCCCACTTCACTACTAAAAACATGCTGAAAATTAACCAGAAATTAAAGTGATGTCAAAAGACACTTTTTAGCAATGGTAGCAGGAAGCTATAAGGCTCTGAGGCTTCAGCTTAGTGATCAACCCTTACTTCCAGCAAATTAAGGATTCAATTATTCTGCTATTCCACATCCTAAAGCGCCCAGCTCACGGGCCAGAAATCAAAGTGTGTTTTTCTTTTCTCCTACTTTCTTCATAGGCAGCATTAATCTCTTCCCGTTAAGTCCCAAGTTGTTTTTCTAATAGAATACAATTCTGCTACATATTCTACTTTTACAACTAGTAATTTGATAGATCCAGCTTAAATTAAGATGAATAGACACCAATTAGTACCATTTTAATAGACTACTGGATTTCATACTATAAATCTCATTATGCTTTGCAGAAATTAAATTGGAAAGCCAGTGGCAAGAACACATGCTATCTGTGCACATCCAAATGAATATAATAAATACAATACAAAATAAGTAAAAATAAGTAGCAAGACTCTTAACTTTAATGGAACTCAACCTAAAAAAAAAAATCAGCATTTTTCACTTAGTGGAGTACCTAATTCATTCAACCCTCATGCAACTGATGTCAAAAAGTGATGCTGGCTTAAAACAAAAGATGCAAAGAGTTTCAGAAAAATAACATAGGTTGTAGCCAATCATTGGGCCTGGGTATCAGCTCTTCACTGGAAACCTGCAACAGCAGAGCTGCAAATCTAAATTCACCCCAAGTTGGCATCAATCTTGATCACATCATAATCAACTTATTCTCTCCACCCCCTCTATTTTCCTCTGTGTAAAACTCCTAATTATGAAAACCAATACCCAGTTCATCTTCAAACAGGTAAAAAACCCCAACTTTAAATCAGCCAGGATACTGAGACACTGCATCAGGTGTCACCCAAAATCAAATCAAATTGGCCAAAACCTGACAGCCTCAGTGAAGGCAGGAGTCATCAGACCCTCTCCACAAAGGTTAATCCCTTCTTCTCATGCATTCTTACATATTCCAAAAGTCACAACAGAAATTAAGTGTCACTTCTCCCAAAGAAATCTTTGGTCTAAAGACAGCTAGGACAAGGCAGGATTCTCACAATTAAAAGGACAAGTGTCATCCCTAACTTTGAAACTCCTGCCATTAAAACAACAATAATAAAAAAAGACTCTCCAAAACACATCCTTTCTTTTCAACCAAAGCAGCAGCTGTCATCAAAGCATTTCTCGTCATCTCCCCATGTCTGCCAACAAAAAATTACCAGAGAAAATTGGGCATCGGGATCCACAGGACACTGTATTTCCTTTGGTTTAGAGACATGGCTTGCACACATTTTTTTGGGGGTAATTCCACACAGATGGATTTTTTTTCCCCACTAGCTGAGTCCAGTGTATCTTGATGTACGCAGTCCTAACTCCCCCAAAGCTTTGTGACCATCTAAATATTTTTTTTCCTAAAAATAAATTAAAAAATGGAGACTGATGATATGGGGAACAGTGGGATACGAGGAATCTCAAGTAAGTCTGCATAGTTTGTCAGAGGGACAGAACAGACCAAGGAAAGCTTGAAAAAATAAACGTGCTTTCTCTCACAGCCTGTCGGTCACCTCAAGATTTTACTTTACCTATAAAATAATAATTTCACAATATTAAAGTAATGTTAGTAAGAAAAAACCAAGTTATTTAAGTGTCTACTAGATGAGATGCTTCTAGCTACTCATGCCTCCACAGCAGAATATCACAGTGTAAGCACACCCACACACTTGAAATCTCATTTACCCCTAATTTACAAGACATCTTCATTAATCACCTCGGAAACAGTGGCAGAGCCATAGAGGCATCTTTGGTGGACAACACCTTTATCCTGCTTTTTGTTTTGAATAAAGACAACTTTTACAGGTGATCTTTGATACTGTCTCATCATCCATTCTTCTACAATATTTCTTCCTCCTTTTTTTATTCTGCTTTTCACTATTTCTTTTTTATTCCTCACTGAAATTCATCCGTGGCCCTGCTTGCACTCTTGAGTTTACAGGTTCAAAAACCATTTACAGGAGAAGCTATTACTCCAATCTGGAGCCTCTGTTCCCTTCCTGGTCTGAGAGAGGAACCATGACTCAGCTCAGAGCAAAAAGACCAAGTTCATTTCAATAAATTAAACCTGACAATGACCAATCCCAGAAGCTTTTGTTAGGCAGCTGCTATTTACATGCAACTAAAAAGCAAGATTTTCAGAAAATGTTATGAATTAGTCAGACCTGAGCCATCAAATCATTCACATATCAAATTCTTAAATAAAAAAAAATGAACTGTTAAACACATTCAACTCTGCTCCGATCAACATGGCAAGAAAGCCTATTAAATGTGCAGCACCTCCAGACAACACAGTTTTTCAGCAGTGCTTTTAATCCTCACCAGTAATCAATTATCCTTCAAGCTCCCACATTATATAATTAGAAGTGCTTCCAGAAGGTGACTGGTAATTCATCAGGAGACTCTATTTTCCTTCTTACTAACTCCATTCTTTTGACTTTTTTTTTCTACGAGATCTTGCACATATCAACAGCAAAGCCATTTTTCCTTTAAACATCATTTCTCCCTCTGAGCAAGTGTTTTTTTTTTCCCCACGTAAACTACAAACTTAAAACTAAATGTTAATAGACACAAGTTAGGCCTCAAAATTTAGGTCTCAAAGGAGCAATATGGAAAATAAAATTTGACTCCCTTAAAGGAACAGTCAGTTACCAATTTCATCATTTCTATCCTTAAGGGGAACCAACTAAAATCTTAATCATACTTTCCCAAAGCTATCACATATTTCTTCAGTTGAATGCTCCTGCAGTCGTACCCAAAGCATTCCTTGATACACAAAGCTGTATATCATATTTTTAGCCTGAAAAAACATGTATGGCTCCTCATTAATAGCTGCTGCCATAGACAGATGCAAGTCTTCATACTCAGGAGTCTCAAATTATTTTAAGGAGGATCCATAAACCACATAAAAATAACATTTTAACAGCTCAATCATTGATGGGGAGACAAAGCCATAAAACAGCCTGTCAAGAACCATACAGCCTGCTCCTCTTCGCATAGACAAAATTAAAACCAAAGAGCATCTTTGCCTGGACACCTCTGCCACCACTGACAGGCGATCATTTTTAACCCAGCCTTTGCAGGGCAGCTGTCTGCTCCCAAGACACTTATCCCCAAGTCTTACATCAGGCTTGCAGGCTGCTGGGCATTCTAGCCTCACGTTTCTGCTTCTACAAACCCTGGAAAAGGACAGGGCTGGGTCGAAACTCTGCAGAAGAGAGCTAATGTCACACAACTGGGTCCCCCATCATCTGGCCTGATGCAGCAGTTATAAAGCACCACACCGCCTCTCATCGTGAAGGCTGCAAGTTCTGACCCAGGTGACACAAATTTGCTCAGGGAGAGCTGTGAGAGGAGAAACAGTTTCTCCACTTCCATCATCATCCCTCCCAAGTCCCCCATGCCTGAGATTAAGCCTCAGGTTTCTGTAGGACAGGCCAATATGGTACAAGTGTGATCGATAGCTCAAAACATCCTCTGTGACACTTAATGTCACACCGAGGTTTTACAGCAACGTTACCTTCACATTCACAATGTTTTTAACACCTTCTACCTGCCTGTGGAACAAGGTCTAGCAGCAGCAACTTGCTCAATTCTAGAATTAAAGTGAAACATTGCTAGTCATTTGCTGCTGCTTAGCTTGCACAATCAAATGTAGTTGTCTCTTTGCAATGGCTGTGTTTAAATCCCATAAAAACTCCAACAGCTTGCCTTGGAGGAGAACCTCCATAGGCACAAACTGCAAAACCTGCTGGGGAGAGTCCGTGTCTAGTAAAGAGCTCATTAGGTTATTCAGATGCTGCAGATATTCAACAATTGGATTTGGGAGGCCTCGGTAACCAACACACAGCAAAGCGGCACTAGTCCTTAGAGGCTCGTGGGAGGTAGGACAAGAGAACGTGATGCATCTGAAACAGCAGTGCAGTATAAAGACCAGGCCGGCTGTGAAGCGTGTAAAACAAGAGAGAATAGGCAAAATCAATGCATCTCCCACTGTAAGCTCATTCAGCAAATGCAGAACGCACTCCAAAAGCTGCTGCTGGTACTTTGGTTCTCCATCATAAAGCAAAGAGAAGCTGAAAGTCAGCAGTGTGGCCGAGTTCAGGAGCTTTATTTCCATATTGGGCTGGCTTTCAGTATCACAGAGGGATGGAAAGTCCACCACGAGGCACTTGAATTGGGCACTGCACCTTTCATTGAGGACTTCCTGATGGCACCTGGAAAGATCAGACACTTCTGCCAGAATCAGTTCCCCAGGAAGAACTTCACACGAGTGACAAGTCTGCAGCACGTGCCTGCTTTTCAGCCTCCCCCTCACCAATTCATTCATAGCTTCGTTAAGATTTTCCAAGACTTGACCATCACAAAACGGAGAACATTTTACCACTGGTAGTCTTTTTCCTTCCAAAATGTACCACAAGCTACACTCGACATTAGAAGCCGATCCTTCCAAGATGCACATTTTACCAACATTATTTAAGCTATGTTCTTCAGCCCAGTGATTAAAATAGCCCTTTGCCACTTTATCATTCCACGTAAGGGTTTCCAGCATCTTCCTTTCATTATATGTACTAAAATATTTGTTTCTTTGCCCAAACCACTTCGCATTCATGCTGCAACCAGCCTGAGATTTCTTGACAAGCCAGTTATTTCTGGCAATGGGTTTCATATGAAGTCTTTGCATGTAGAACTCTACTGCGCAGTCTCTTAACTTGTTCAGTTTCATCTGCTCTGCTTCTTCCATGTGCTCAAAGAGGTGGATGTTCTCAGAGATAGTCTCTACCTGGCACTTGTGGAAGAAGATGCAACATTCTTCATGTATTTTAAGAAAAGATTCTGGTAGCGTATGCTGGGGGAAAAGTGCTTTTTTGACCATTTCTGTTCCAAAGTTCTGTATCATCTTCGAAAGCAGCAGATGAATGCTTTCCCTGCCCATATAACGAAGACAAATCACATAGGCTTCCGAGTTTCCAGCTTTGCTAGTGGCTGGCTTAAAGACATGGACCTCCTCAAAAGAGCAGTTTAGCAGAAAGAGCAGGTTGGTAGAACAGTGTTCAAACAGTGTGAACATCTTCAAAACAAAGGATCCTCCAGCGCCCAGGATCATTAAAGCAGTGACTGTTTCACAGTAATGAAGGGGTGAGACAAGAGCCTCCTGTTCACCTGGATTCCCCTGGCAATCAAAGCTGCCATCAGCAGTTACCAGGTGAATGGTGCTCATATTACTTACAAAGTTCTGAAGTCCTGTTAGATGTTTCAATGTCATCACATCACCGGTGTTATCCGGACCAAAGTACCACCACGGCAACGTATTTGCTATAAGACGGTCATCCATGATCATCATAAGGGTGTCATTTGCTTCGTGATACGGGTTTAGAGTATTAGCTACCCAATTCCAGTCGCAAGGGACATGGTGGGATTTCAAGTAGTGATTGAGACTGGCTATAAAAGCTCCGGGTGCTTCACAGAGGTGGACAGAATTCAGCTCTCCATCCTGAAGAGCTTCTTCAGGGAGAAGAGGAAAACTGCATAGGATCTCGTGAAACTTGCACCACGCCTGGGTACAGAGCTCAGCATTCAGAGATTTCTTCACATGAGGAATTATTTTCCCAGCTTTATTGGTAAACGAGGTGTGCTGATGCCATTCATTCAGGTTCTTATCACTCAGCTGATTCTTCACTTCATTCATCGAGTCCTTCAGAGCCAGGAGCGAGTTGAATTCCTTGTGATCGCACATAAAAGCATCGCTGGGATCTGGTAGCTGCCATTCATTATTTACTGGCTTAGTGTAAGTAAACTTCTTTGCAAAAAGCTTCTCAATTTCAGAAATAATTTCAGGACTGAACTTCTCAAGGTTTGTAGTCTGGTCAACGTAAGGCTTCTTACATTTGTTCATTCTTGGATTGATTCACAACCTGGAGGACAGCAGGGAGGAAGAAACAACGTCACTTCCATCATACCTATATATAAATAGGCAAAGCTTTTTTTAATGAAAGTTTCTCCCCCTTAACCTTTGTATTCCAGAATGAGAGAAATGCTTCACAGAATCATGCAAAAATGAGGAAAATAATGGAGGGCTATCCTGAATAATGCTACTTGGAAATCAGGAGGTTCACAGGTTCAATCACCCTTCACTCTATTTACATAGCAAGTGAAGAAGAGTTGGCCACTGCTTCAGCTCTTCGCTGACCTTTGAATACTCTGCTCACTATATAGATCTAAACACTTAAATTAAGTATCTCTCAGTCACAAAAGAGACGATACCACAAGCTATACAAATTAACCAAGTGACTCAGAAATCTTTTCATCTGATTACAGCAGTATTTATTCATTTCCCTGAAAGTACAGAGCAGGGAGGCACAAGCAAAGGCAGCTTTGAGGGAACACAGTTGTTGTTCCTATTCTCTCCTGCCTTACAACAGCTAACCCTCACACCTCTTCCAGCAACCCCACCACAATGCTGGGAGAGTCCCTGCATCAAGCAAAACCCCTTTTCTGTGCTCCGTGTTACAGCTCTCTGCCAGGCCACTGCAAATACTTATGCCTAGTTTCCCTACTGAAAAAAAAAGTGATAAATCCAAAGTGAGAAGAGACTTTCTTGCATCTGTGGTCAATGCTAACTCATGCTCGATGTTAAAGAAGAAAACAGTGCAAAGCATTGTGCTCTGAGCGGATAAAGGCAGACTAACACGAGCATACACCGCAAAACGCTAACAAGTCTGCTGCCATCTGCTCCAGCACACAGCACAAAGCACACGAGGCAGAAGTTAGGCTTGCTAACCAGAAGTCGGCCAGCCAGTAATCTATTCAAAAGTAAGATGCTCATTTAAGCAAAATAATTTAATCAAAATTACCACAAGAGACAGGAAATCCCCAAGCATATCATTTTAATCATCCCCCGAACCATCCCATTCCCTCAGATGCAAAATGCGATGATCTTAAGTGTTACAAAACAGTTTAGTGGGGAAAAAAACATCAGATTAACACTGAAAGGGTTGAAAAACTTTGGAAGCAAACAGGACAAAGAAGGGCTAACCTAAACACAATATGCTTCCCCCTGAAGCCACGCAGCATCTCAGGCCACAGCCCCAGGACCATCTCCTCACCATCAGCTCACTGAGGAGAAGCCCGTGGTTCATTAAAAACACACATGGGTGAAGTTTCATCCCTGTTTTCCCCCATTCAACTGCCTTTCAATAAGCATATTTAGTTTCACTTTGTTCCTGCAGATATATTTTGGCTATAATCTAGTTGCTTCTCACTACAGGTGCCAAGGAGAAGGGAAACACAGGACAGCACTGTCCCAAACTAGTTGTACTTCATTTTTAAACACCAACTCTGAGCATGGCCTTTTAATTACAGCTCACACCAGCAACCCCCTGCACAAGCCATCCTCCCAAGCACGTCAAGGAAACAGGCAGGCATTCATCTGGTCTTTCTTCTTTATAACTATTTCCAGCCTCTATTGGCCTGGACTCCAACCAAATCTGCTTAAAGGCTCCGGACTCCTCCCCACACATCCCGGTGCCGGAGGAAGACCCGGGCCCCGCACACCCGCTCCCTCTAGCACCGGCCCTACCCAGCAGCCAGCCCCGGCACACGCTGGGGGCTCACA